AATCCAACACAGTCCAGCAGTCCACAATAGTAGTGGGTTATCCACAAAAGTTGTTGACTTGAGCCTTTCACAGCTCAGCATATTAATATGGCTTTACTTTATATACCTCGTTTTTATACTTTTCTGCTGGATGGTTAAGACCAAGGTAAAGCAGGACCTATGCAACAAGAGTTGTAGCTTTTGGGTATTGGAGCTTTCTTTCTGGCCAAATTAACAGCACTTCAAATCATTCTGCTTGGTTCTTTGCTCTTGATTCGCAACATAAATCTGACTAAAAGCCCCCAGCAGTAGCCATGCCACTGCCTCTGTATTTGACTGCCTTGAAATTGCTTTTGTCAAATTAATCAGTCCTCAGCACTTAATCTCAGCCTCATGTAAAGTCTCTGGACACAAGAAAAATGCAGGCAAACTTTCTGCCAAGCCAAAAGACACATCATCTGAAGTCCAACAACCAAAGCATTCCTTCTCAAATCTGGTCTTTACTGGCAGGATTTCTATCAGCACTCTGGTCTTCTGAATTCTGACCTAAATCTCCTATACAGAACAGCCATAGGCATTCCAGCACTTCTCTTTCAGGTGACATCTCCAGACCTTTCCTATTTCTTCCCATAAGGCATTCCCAAAGGCTCATAAACCACATGGTCAGGTATAGTCATAGCAATGATGCCGCTTCTCGGTACCAGATTCTGTCTTAGTTACCTTTCTCTCATTGCCGGGACAAAACACCTGACACCCAAAATGAAAGAAGGAAAGGTTCATTTAGCTCACAGTTTGTGGAGGGTTCAGTCTGTACTTGGTTGACTTTGATGCAGGATGGCACATGGCAGAGGGTAGCAGTTCATGGTGGCAGAAAACAGCAAAATAGCAAGAACAAATAGGGAGGATCAGTGGCAGCAGCAGCAGCAGTGGCAGAAAATCTCTCTCCCTTCCTTATACGGCAACAAGGCTATCTGCCCCAGTGTGGGTGTAGCACTTACACCCATAATCCCAGCATCACTCACCCATAATCCCAGCCTTGGTTCATGAATTAATCACAAACTCTAGAAATGCAACCCAATGACTGCATGAGGGACAACTAGGCACAAACCATAATGCAAAGCATAGTTCACATACACTTCAAATGGAAATCCATCTCCACAGGAAGTTCTTCCACAAGGCAATTCTTTGGGGAGCCTTCTTGCCTCTGTGTAAAAGATGTATGAAATAGCTGTTCAATGTAGACTCAACTCTAGAAGAGCTGGTGAGATGGCTCAGTGGTCTAAAGCACCTACTTAGAACAAGCTTAGCAAAGCAAAGGGACCGCGGTTCAAACCCCCAGCACCACATGCCAGCCAGCCCCGCCCCCTGGTGGGCTGAGCTGGCCACACACACACACACACACACACACACA